CAGTGGCCCCCATTCTTTTGGGCACCAGGGACCGGTTCGGTAGAGAAAGGTTTTTCTGCAGACTGGAGGGGGCAGGGTTTTGCATGCTGCCTATATCTCATGGATGGGGCTTTGCTTGTTTGCATGGCCCGGTTGCTGGCATGTCACGGACTTGTGCCAGTCTACGGACCGGTGTTTGGGGACCTATGCTCTATGGTATACAAATAAAGAAAAGCTCAGTCAGATCAGACCAGAATACCAAGTCCAGGAGTCTGTTCCCACAGTGGCTAACAAAAGGCCACCAAAACACTCATCAAAATGCTCATCCGTGAATAGGAACATACTAATATTCTGCTTATGACCTTCAGTGATGATAACAACCATAGACACCATAGCAGCTCTTGATGCAATTCCTTGATGATAGCTATTCTGTTGCAAGTGTTACAATAATAAGCTTTTTTAAATAGCATGTAGCAGGAGGTTTCACAAGGGCAAATGCAATGTGGAGACAATGACTTGTTCCATTAGTGCCAAGCCATGTTTTCTTAAATCTTGCCTTACCAAATGCATCACGGTTGACAGAGAATGCTAAACCATAAAGTGTAACTTGCAAATCAAGTGGCAGATTGCACACAACATGCCAAGCAAGCCAGAAGCCACCAAATTACATTTTTGATGTCCAGAATTTATGAACTTAGAATTACTTAACAATTAGAAGCTTTTTCAGCCATTTTTTCATAAGGACTTTATTTAAAATGGGTCATTGTGGTGAGTAGGATTTGAATTTTTTTTTTAAAAAAAAATGCTCATAGGTGAATATTTTTGTTTTTCTCTTTGACTGGAAGCATTTTTAGCTGTGTTTTAAGCTTTTATATTGCTGTTTCCTTCCTAATCCAGGAAGGAATTGCTGGATTAGAGACCTGCATTTATATGATCTAAGAGTGTGGAAGTGAAGAAAAGAGGTTGGGAACTTCAAACTATTTTGGTTGATTCCTTTTTGTTGCTGTCAAAGACCATATTGCAAAATCAGATGGCTGCAGTTGGAGTCTGGCATATTTGTATGCAAATATAACCTTTGTTCTCCAAAACTACAACATGTAGTAGCAGAAATGTTTAATAAAACTAATAGATATGGATGGGGGGAAAACTTGATGGTGCTTGATTTGTTAACATCCTTCATAGAGTGGCAATGTTTTCACCTTTGGAGATGACAGTGCTGGACAACTAGGACACAACTCTTCAAAGATTGGTCCTCAGAAAATCGATGAGATTGATGGTCCAGTTTCCCATGTTTCCTGTGGAAGGTATGTACCATCTCTTTCCTTCCACATCTATGTGAATGGTTGTGCCTGAGCTTTAAAGGGAAATTGATATAAACTACAGCACATAGACTATAAATATCCCAAATGTTTGTTTTAGATATTTATACATATATTAAGTGTCAATGTGATATTCCTTTTTTCTTTTACTTAAATTAGTGACCCATAAAGATGATATAGCTTTGTTTAGTAACATTAATTAGGAATTGTGAATTAATATAGTTAATATGTTTAAAAACTGTCAAATTCTATGTGTATATATGGTATTTAGTGTACTGCCAAGAAAATGATATTGAAAGATGTCAATATAATTCCTATTAAAGAAATTTTTGTAAATATTTTTCATATTCTGCTTTTTGTAAACTTTTTAATACCTTGAACTTTAATAAAGTATTTTTTAAAATAAAAAAGCACTTCTAACATTTTGGAGGCTGTTGGTTTACCAGGAACTTTAGATGATGAGAGGACTATACATCTGAGACATTCCACCTCTCTTATTCTGTTAATGTTAAATATTAGGAAACTTTTATTAATGTGATTATTCTAAACCATAACAATCCCAATCGGATAGAGAGCAGAGTTGTTCATATGGGAAGCTGACAGTATTTTGGTTTTTCTGCAGTTATCACACTCTTTGTGTCTCTGCCTCTGGGCAGTTGTGGTCTTTTGGACGTGGTCTCCCTCAGCACACGGAAAGTTCGGCATCGGAGAGCAGACAGGAAGAAAGACGGTGTATTGACCTCAATGCTCTTCTGGCCCCTAATGGTACCTTTTTGTAAACACAAATCCAGAATGCAAAATAGTCATAATAGAAGAATGCAAGGGAGCAACATACAGCCACAATTAAGCACATTTAAGACACTCCATGGCTTTGAAAACAGATGGTTAATTCTCTTTGAAAAGTGACACCTAAAAGTCTTTCTAGATTTTTGTGTTGTGCTTTACTCTAAAAGTCCAAATACAACTCAATTTTTTTTTATTGCCAAGATCATCACAAAACTTTGTAACGTGGTTTGGGTTGAGATTTAATGGCTAGACTTAAGTCACCCAGTGTGTTTCCATGGCTGAAAGTGGACTCAAAACTGGTTATACCCTAAATCAAGACCTAAATTTTTATTTGATTTGAGTTGTCAGATGCAGATAATGTCCATCTCATTCACAGGATCACTCTAGGTGGCGTTCAGTTAAATGCATAAAAACATAGCATTTAAAAATGCTTTACATAATCAGTAAAAGGAGCCAAGTAGAAAGAAGAATAAAATAAGTTGGAAGTTAAAAGATGGAGGGAGGGCCTTAAGGTGCCAACCAACCCCAGGACTGAGTGCTTTCTGGAGCCAAGTATTATCATGGTCTAAGTTACTGCTCCAAAGGATTGTTCTATTCATTTTTAAAATGTGGGAATTGGGAGACTGTGTTTTCTGACTTCTGAGAGAGCAGATGTCATAATTTGGAAGGGTTGATTGATTATCTGGTAGCTTTTGAAGTTCAGAATATTCTGCCATCTCCAGATGACAAGATCTGGGAAGAGTACAGACGAATGTGCATTTATCCCGGTAGAGAAAAAGGATATATACAGGTAGTCCTCAAATTATAAAAGTTTGTTTAGTGACCATTTAAAGTTACAACCACACTGAAAAAAGGGAGTTATGACTATTTTCCACAATTACGACCATTGCACCATCCCCAAAGTCATATGATCAAAATTCAGATATTTAGCAACTGACTCATATTTATGACGGTCTGGTCGCAGTGTCCCAGGATCATGTGATCCCCTTTTGCGACCTTCTGACAAGGAAAGTCAATGGGGAAGCCAGATTCACTTAACAACTGTGTTACTAACTTAACAACTGCAGTGATTCACTTAATGACTGTGGCAAGAAAGATCGTAAAATGGGGTAAAATTCACATAACAAATGTCTCAGTTAGCAACATCAATTTCGGGCTCAAGTGTGGTCATAAATCGAGGACTACCTATAGTAATTTTAGGAGTCTCAAATTTTAATCAGTTGGCAGAAGTGTAGAAATAGAGAATTGCAAAGCTATGTAATTCCTTGACCAGCGAAAGCAAAATAAAGGCTTTTCGTTAATAGGGTAAATTCTGAAATTCTAATCTAATATGCACAACGTTCTGGCTGTAAAATCAAAATTAATGTATGATTGGAGCGAGCACAGAATTCTTCCTCTGTTTGTCATGAAAAGGAAATTTCTGTTAGTGGAGAACCAGAGAGCTGCTGCATGTGTATGTTAGAAAGTTTAATGAAGAAAAAGAGTTTTGAGAGATAAAGGAATTAATAGCTGCAGGTGAGTTCCTTCTGGAAATTTCAGAAGCACCCTCACTGTAAATCACAAGAGAAAAGAAGGAGGAGAAATTACAGAAAAATTGTACTTATTACAATAATAATATCTGTCTGTGCAATGAACTATAATAATAATGTACATATTCATATCATTGTAGAATTGTTGGGAGTCCAAGTTTTTGCTGGAGCATATGTCAACTTTATCAATATGTATCAGGTAATCTTTTTATTTTTTTTGTAAACTGTCTTGACTTCAACATCATTATCAAACCATCAGTAAGCTAAGTTACTAGTAGTAGGCTGTGTAGCACTTCAAATAGATTATAGAAGACGCTATTCCTTCCATGTAGGACCCGTATACTGCGTGAGTCAAAAAGAGGGCTGTGAAAATATTTACAGGACCCTCACATCCCGGACTTAAACTGTTTCAACTCCTACCCTCAAAATGATGCTATAGAGCACTGCACACCAGAACAATTAGACACAAGAACAGTTTCCCCCCGAACCCCAAATACTGTCAAACTATTTACTAAGTCTGCATTACATTTAATCCTCCCATCCTTCCTTTCAACCATCTCCTCCCATTTATGACTGTAACCTTGTTGCTGGTATCCTAACAATTTTTATTGACTGTTTCCTACTATGATTTGATTGCTGATTGTACCCTATGACTATTATTAAGTGTTGTACCTTATGATTCTTGACTCTTGACAAATGTATATTTTCTTTTATGTACACTGAGAGCATTTGCACCAAGACAAATTTGTTGTGTGTCCAATCACACTTGGCCAATAAAGAGTTCTATCTATCTATCATCTATCTATCTATCTATCTATCTATCTATCTA